ACGCAACATTTACTCGAACAAAAACACTGTCACCCCACCCCACGCATTCCATGTCATCTACAACACAACAAACAAAAAATTTGCTGAGGCCCTAGCCATTCACACTCTCAAACCTGATCTATGCAAACAACGCGAATGGTTATTCACATTAGCCTTGCATTGGTGATTGACCCCCTGCCCTATCACGTCCCCCTTTTTGTGTTTTTGCGTTGCGTTTTCCGTTGTGATTAGCGATCTTGTGTTTTTTCTCTCAAATCTGTTATCTCATTGACTATAAAAATCACTTGGACTGCAGTATACACGTGTACAGATACAGCGAAATGACCATGGATACATTGTGCAAACCCATGTTTCTGACTTCTCTGTTCAAANTATCTTTATTCCGGTACTACTTCTGCCTCTCCACTCCTTACTTTCCTTCTTTCGTGTAAATGAGCAGCCCTAAGATAGAAACCAAAACCGCAACAAAAAGTACGAGTTTGATGTTTCATTCCAACTAAAACTGCCTACCTTGCCCACTGGTGTAGGTTTTTCGGGTATTACTCTTAGAGTTCCGTAATTCCGCAAAACGGTTTCAATTTCAATTTATAATATATAAATTTAAAATATCACCGGTAAACTATTAGTTATTCTGCTTGAGTTTGTCCGATCATCAACTGAAAGCAGTGTTTGAGTTTACCGACTGTCTAAATCCTTTCTGCAACTGCTTTTCATGCTACCAGGTGCTTCTAGTTCCCGAAAGAAACGTCAGCGATCTATACGAAAACACACTGGGTCGTCTTCGAAGCGGCGGTTCGTTGCCATGGCGACCACGACGCACACAAACATAGATCCAATCTCGGAAAAGCGGGATGCGACTGCTATTCCTTCTTCCCGCGTGCGTGTCGATTCAGTCTTCACAGATAACGAGAGTGATGACAATGGCGTTTCTCCTATGCCTGATTTGATCCCCGTTAATTCCACCCTACGTAAGGTCCAAGAACCGTTGAATCCCGCTGTCAAAAATTCCGCGGATGTGCTATCAAAGAATCCATCTGACTCTAAGCATAATCGGACTCAACCAAGAACCAAACACACAGCCTGTATTCCCAAATCCGTCTATCCGCCTGCGATCAGAGCCGTTTCCCATGATTCCTCGCAAGTTGAACCAGTCGTAACCCGGGATAGAACCAGCCGAAAGCATTTCCCTTCATCTTCATCATCGACTGGTTCAAGTGGAGCCAAGTCACGGGTGAACAGCGTTTCTCATCGCCCCTCATCTGCTCAGGTTGTAGTGGCTACTGCTGGCAGCTCCTATTATTTCGTAAGTTTGTTTCGGTCTCGGTTTGTTGATTTTTTTAATGTTTGGTCATCCTCTAGCTCGTCAGAATGTGAGTTATAGTGGGTTAAGTAAGGGTTCAGTGATTATCTTCTCAAGTCACTACAATCACATTTACACGAAAGCAAAATAACCTGAAAGTTTTTTTTTAAACGTGTCTTCTGCAGTCAGTTTGAAGAGGAACGTGGGGGTGATGTGGGTGGTGGAGTTAGATCACGTGGATGAATCAACTTTAACAAATCAACGGTGCTACCACGAGTTCATTGTGCTACCGGTTGGCCTAGCAGTGACGTGAACTAATTATTACGTAACCCGATCATACACTCGAGCGTTCCCGGTTCAGTGTTACTTCATCATCATCAATCGAAGAAAATACACTAAACGAATCGATTTGTGATGTTTTCCTTTATCTGTTCCCGAGGAATTCTAACCTCTGAATAGTATACTCTGGTGGGACATTGTTTTGTGTGGTTCGTTTGCCAATCGGTGCTCCAGGGCGCAGCGAATCAGGCGTATTTTATAACTTGAGGCTTGAGCATGCATAACAGGATAAACAAGAATACCGCTTATTGTGCCAGCTTAGTATCTAATTGCTCACAGACCGTTTCCATCCCCTGGTCTGTCTCAAACATCATCTCATTCCTTAGTTGTACAAGTTTATTATGGATCACGGGATGGATGAAAATTCTCCATCGGTCGCCTTCTGCGATTGTACTGCGTCGAATCAAGTTTTCTCAAGAAATCAGATCTAATCGCTAGTCTGAAAAGCGGTAATCGATACAATCGGCGAAGTACATGAATGCTTTCCTTTGTCCTTTCATTAACACAGCGTCGGTTTATGTACAGAATCATACTTCCGCAGTTCGACTATGGTGTTAACCTTAACTTGGAGCAGATGCGTTTAAAATGATCACAAAGTGTGAATTAAGATCAAAGCTTGCTGAACAACTCGTTGAGACCGAAAATACTTCAGTATCCGCTGCGGGAGTAGACAGACACGGCCTTAGTCAGCTGAAACCAGATTGTTCATATCCCATTGGTGAGGTCAAAATCCACGAGGAGGTCCAAGCCCTGAAACGTCACAATGTCCCCGGTTCCAATGTCCTTTTCACAGCTGCATTCCCATGCGATAGAATAAAGCTGATTAGAGAACTCTAAGCTCTGTTCTTCAGGGTTAGCGACACCGAATAGGTCCTATCATGAGGAAAATCTCTCTCCGTCCCCATATTTAAAAAGGAACCCTCGCAGTGACTGTAACAACTATGAGGGTTTTGACCTCATCAAAGCGTCCTTCGTTCTTTGCAAAGTTTACAGTATGCGTAGAATGCAGACCCGCGATAAACAGGCTGCCGTCGTGGGTGCACCAATCAAATCTCTCTGTGACAGTTGCAGTGGCACCATGGTGCTTCCCGGAGGCCAAAGATCGTTATTTTCTTCGTCGATAGGGACGGGATGTTTTGACAAATGGAGTACCTGAAAAGTACGTAGATGATCCTCAAAGAGATGTATAATCTTTCCTCAGGTTGGATGGCCACCTTTTGCTGGTTACAGCAGGATGTGACAAAGCTACCCTGTATCCTCATTCCTTTTCAACTTAGTCATGGACGTTGTTCCACATAATCCTTTGTCCGTTTTAGCAAACGGTGGAGTGGAAACACTCCAAGTGTTCTTGGTTTGGAATATGTCGAGGACAACACCTTGTTGGGTGAGAATAAACGGGCAGTTTAGCTTGGTTCGACCCGTTTGACAGTCGAGGTATCCAAACACTGTGTATACCTTGCACCATTCAGGTGCAAGTTGTTTATACCAGACTTGCGGGAGCCTGTGCATGTAGATCTCTTGTAATGATAAACTAAAAGTAGTCCAGAGTTTTAGTATATTGGGAGCTAAATTTGGTGTTGGGGATGAGAACACATAACAGATGCCAACCTGCGTCGCCACCATCACATTCAATTTTCCCATGCGGGAAGGGTGTGTGGCGCCGTGGTTCGTCATGTTTTGCTTTACGGTTACTCGATCTGGCCCCGAGGTTGCTAATTGAATTTGTGCCTCCGGCCCCCAATATCTTCTAAGCATTGCTCGCATCTGGTGGGAACATCGCATGAGCAATGGCGAGATGCATCGTCCCGCATTGGGTGTGGATAGTGGTTCTTTGGAAAAAGAAATCATTACGGCACCTGTGTTGACTTGGTCATGCTTTGAGCACGCCTGTACATCGCTTATCTCTCCGTGCTCTGTGCATTTGCCGAGCGAGGTTGAAAGAAGTGTTGCGGCGGTTAGTTCTTTACCTGTGGTAGGTTTGTCGAAAAGTTAACTTCAATATACAATTTTGTCGGTGCGGCCATCTTTCCAGGTTAAAGTCTAAGACATTAAGATTGTCGTTGGTTATTTGGTGGATGTTATCATCATTCACGTTACCTTTTGCAACAGTTTTGTCTTGTATTTCATTTCTGCGCAACCGACTCCAGTGAAGTTTTAGTGACTGGCTAGTTGGTGCTCTTTGGATGATTCATTTTCTATCTTCTGTGGGGCACCGATTTGAGTTCATTCAAGTTCATTCATTAGCTCATTGTGACGTGCCTTATTTTTCAGCACACATTGTCTGTTTTGCTTACTTCCAATTATAAGACCTCACCTTTATTGTCTCCATGAAACAATGGCAATAATGTTTACTAGATTCATGTTCGCTGTTCTTTGTTGTCGTTGCGAATTTTCAGGCCATTGACCAGAAGTGAATGGATGTTACTTCCCGCAGGCTGTGTTGTTTCTTCTTCCTTATTTGTGCCTCCGTTTCGCTCGTTTGTTTTATATACCAATTGTAATTTCTGATCAACTCTTCTTCTCTATGTGCTTTCTTTTCTTTTCCAGAACAGCAGTGGTGAGCAGATCTGGTTGTGTCCAATATGTCTACAGGAAGATGACGGCAACCTCATGATTGGATGTGATAGTTGTGACGATTGGTACCATAGGTGCGTCGTTTTGTTTTGCAGGTCGATATGCTCTTTTCTAATCATTTTTGACAAAAAAACGACAACTTACTTCTCAAGCTTCTTGTCGCATCGAAATAGTGTTCACTCTCAGTGAGTGCTCTGCTCTGCTCGTCTTCCATTTTCCCGTGCAGCACCTGTCTTGGGCTCTCTGCGGAACCAGAAGATCCACACTGGTTTTGTCCTCGGTGTGCCGGTCAGTCATTGCCTGTGAGCTCCGGAAGTGCTAACCTTACCCCTGGCCCTGTACAGCTACCTCCCCTCCTTTCCACACCCACGGTGAGCGGCACAAATCGGAAGAAGGTGGAATCTGGGCATCGTTCCACTACAGGCTCCCACTCAAAGCACGCCAAACGTGGAACCAAACGATAGCCCTTTCAAAATGTCTGAATTATTTTCTCAACTTGTTTCTGGGGGATTTTCTACCGACGCAAACTTGCTTCCCTCTCCTGTATATAAACTATTGAAAAGAATACTAATGCTTCCGTATTACCACTAAGATAACTGTGGCTTGGCACTTTTTATGGTATCCTCTACTCGGGAAAAGTGGCTGGAAAACAACTCCGCTTTAACTCTAACAGTAGGTGCTAGTTTTCGGCAGAGGACCCATCTAAGTGAACGTCACTACCAAGTATTTCACTTAAACTATTGATCGTATATATATATATATATACACAGGTGTTGACCAAACTCGTGCAACATCACCCTCATTTTGAAAATCCATTTCAGCTTGCAATAGCATACTTATATATAGATGGTTATGAGTACGGTGTATTTATTCCTGACTTTATCTCCAACATCTACGTTCTTAGTTCATTTCTATCACCATTTGAATGTGCGCGACCTTGAGTGCCGCTGTAATATTTGCAGTAGTTCGAAAGTTACAGCTCTGATTTATAAAATATTTTGGGCAAAGTAGCACGGGTGTTCATTCTTTTGAATAGATGATTCGTGTTTCATGAGAGTTTCTATTAGGTTGAGCACACGTATTCTAAATTTCTATTCTGTTTTCATTCAGTGCACAGTAAATAAGCAAATTATTGAAAATATTC